AAAGAACCGGAACCGGCGGGTCTGACCCGGACCCGCCTGAAAACCGGCGGTTTTCAGACCCGCCGGTACAGGGCCGGTTCATCGGACCGGCCCTTAGTTCCAACCGGGCCGATCCCGGTTCGACCATCCCAAGACCCGTGGCCCGGCGGGCCGGGCCGGGCCGGGCCAAAACCCGGCACCTGGCCACCTCTAGATGAACATATATGAAAGGGCAAACGAAGACGACAAGTATCATGCGTGTGCAGTTCGAGGATCTCATAGGGGCCGATTCTACCATCCGGCGAAAACAACTCACACAAAGTCGCCCACATCGAAGATCACGGGACGACCGTCTAATGCTCCAACCAAGTCCCCACGCGGCCCTTCACGAGAAAAAAATAATGTCGTCGACGTCTGTGGCAAAGGAACCGAACGGGGGGCCGAGGGATGTAAAACAAAGCAGGTGCCATCAAACAATAAATCATACGTGTTAAGGCGTCCATCATGCAACATGGAACAATCAACTGCCAAGGACACCATAGTAAAAGGTGACAAGCTTCTGTGGCACGATGTTACACCACACTTTATCCTTATATGTAAAGCGAATAGAGAAAGACACCAACACACGTCGGGTAATAGGGACAGTGTTGTCACACTGTTTCCACGCGATAGCTAAGGATCCGGATGTGGCTCAGTTCGCAACCTAAGCTTATCCACAACTGCATCTGAGATCACTTTTTCGTAAGACCCAAAATAAATAACAAAACAACATACCCAGCCACCCATGGTGAGCGTAGATTCAAAAAGACGTCGGCACAGGACCTCATCATTGGATATGATGTGTGGGGACAAAAGAGAACAACGAAAGACAAGTGTGTGTCGCGCGTCCCCTGAGACATGCACCTCAGGAACCTCCGTCTTTTTGTAAAAAAAGCGGAGGGCCATCATACACCGCGGCTGCAGAATATTCCGCTAATTACTCGGCAAACAAAGCACGCGACCTGACCCCTAGTGGACAAGTTGCCGGTCGATGTCCAAGCTCACCACATCCGAAGCATTGTATCCCGCCACCAGCCCGCACCATACCAGCAGCTGCCGTCGGGCCCATTTCGTCGTTCAATCGCGGCAGCCCACCTCTGGCAGCAGATTTGTGCCCCATTGCCGGTGCTGAGCCTGAGTACATGCCCGCAGTAGGTGTTCAACGTCCGGATTTCAACCCACACTTGCAACACCCATTTTCGCATCCGTCCACGAGGAAGGCGCAATGGACGGACCTGTCTTTTGAGCCAACTGTTTCTCAACAACGATATCCCATTTAAAAGTAGTAGTGTCCCTAGCTTTCAAATGTTTTAAGAAAAAAAATATATTATTCGAAAAATTCAAAGTATGAAAAGTGGGGCGTTACAGTGCAGAAATTCAAAGTATGAAAAGTGGGGCGTTACAGTGCACTGTAACGCCCTGATTTTCATACCTCGAATTTCTCAAATAAATTTTTCTTTTTCTTAAAAATAGTTGAATGCTCAAGGAAGCTACTACTTCAAAACTTGCATTAGCCTCGAAAACCTTAAGAATTACTGTAACACCCCGCCTTATCGTGAAATCAGAGTGCGTAATTTCGCAAAATCTTTAAAAATAAAATCTTTTAATTTGCGAAAACTGATTCGGGGTGCTACCGTAAAACGTGTCTTATTCTGAGAAACCGTTATTTTAATCTTTTTAGCAAAATTCATGGTTTACTGAAAGCATTAATTATTTGAAAGTCTGGTCAAAAGATAAGTTCGTCAAAATGTCAAAATCAGTGAAAACGTAGCATCATCAAAATATATACAATCACATGCATAAAAGTCCTAAATCATCTGTCATCTCACACCTCCGGCCCGACATCCTAACCTGAAAAACATGATAAAAGTGGGTCATGAGCACTATAACACTGTGCTCCGTGGAAACTCATACTAAAGTAAACAGTGAATATAATAACAATATCATGATCCTGGTATATATACATAACCTGAACATGAAACCGGTAATAACATGAACATGAATCTGATATCATCACGTGATCGTGAACCATGACCGTTACCTCATCTACCGGCACAAACTAATATCGGACACCATGTGCACACTCTAGTGGGCAGACTAGGCCACTAGAACCCAGAA